GTCAAAGGTACAAATGTATCACCGGGCCGATGTGACTTTCGCGGTAGGCCAGTACACTTTTACTTGTATTGTATACGTATTATAAACGAAATATAACGTCGCGACCATACCCGAGGCCACAACATCTTGGTCTTTACATCTGAAATATAACGTCGTTGACTTGGGCCAGTCTCGGGAGTTGTAAAGCCAAAGTTTCCCCAGATCCTCGGCTCATCTCTCCTGCTTGGCGCACCCGCAAGTCAGCCCCTTTGTCCGTAGCTTGTCAACTCGTATTCATCAGCTCTTCTGCACGTGAGTAGAACATGAACGTCTGTTTCCCAGTTTTTCGACGATACGAGTCAGCGTTCAGGGGAGAAATTGAAACTGAGAGACGGAAAAATATGCATAAAATTTTCTGTTATATCGACTGACATACCGACTTATGGCAAGTGTTTACTCTACCGAGTGCCCCCAAGACGGGGTCGACTGTGGTGGGTACAGGCCAAGCCCAAGAAAATCCATTAACTTTATGATGTGCCGCTAAACCCGCCTAGAGAGCAGCCGTCCCAGGGATTCGAGCTCGCCCAAGTGTGTATCATCTTCAAAAGGGCTGAAAAAAGGGGGTACTGGATCTGATGCCGACACTTTAGGCCAGTATACGCCGCCAAAGGTCCATAATCAGCAGCCATCTTGACAAAGTCAGGGCCTACCATACGCGGCCGGGTCGGCTAGAGAGCAAAATTGTCCCGATGTCCTGCCATCTCGTAGCGATGCGTATGCTATGCACCGTTGTCAAGGTACACTCCTCTCCCACATCCGCGAGGCTAAGCGTTGTTTTGGCCCAACAGTCATAAATTGTTAAGATGAGGTACAGTTTTTTCTCAGAAATGCCATTTCAAAGTGCTCACTATTCAACTTACTTTCTTTCGGCTCTCACTTGCAATATGCAGTTCAGTCCCCAGATGCTGTAGCGACTATAGTCCAACAGTCGGGCTAATCTATTTGTTGGGTCATTCTGGACAGCAAATTTGGTCACGGACTGGATGTATTTTCGGGAAACTCTTTAATAGTTTAACGTAAATAGTTAATCAGAAGAGTACTCGATTCGAATTCCTAAGATTCTTCGCAGCCCGAGACGGACACATGGCTCAGGGTGGAGAGCAGTTTTGTGAGTAAGCAAGTACTTTAGCTTTTCTCCTCAAGTAGTTCTCTCATCTAGTCTGAAATGCAGTCTCGACCTCAGCCTCCTCAATGATAATTGTTAACTTACACTTTTGGTGTCTGTCATACGAGGAAGGGTTCGCCCTGACTACAGTGCCATCCTTGGTTGCTGCAACCAAGACTACTCCATCCTCCACGAAAGAGTACATCCCTTAAAGACTTAGTCACTTTCAATTTGGCAAATTCCATTCTCTCAAAAGTCCCATCTAACATAGTCAATTAAACGCCTCTTTTTATGGTGAATAAGTGAGAGCACACAATTCTTCGCTGCATGCCATAGTCAAAGTAGGCAATAGAAAACAAATATTTGCTATGAGTATTTCCCAAGGCTGCTCGTAATTAAAAATAAAATTTCGGTCAACCAAGGTCACTCGAGATTATTTAAGCACTGATAACTTCGAAGTGTACTCACATCGGATTGCATCGTCGATTGAAATCGCGAAAACATTTAGGTCTCATCGACAATCCCACTTCAAATGTGACATGGAATGGACTATTTCCCAATATGATGGAAATAGGCTTCATGATACCGTTGAATGCCAACTAACCTCGCATTTTCTCGTACAGAGTGGAAGAAAGTTTAATCTCGCCTCGCTACAACCAACACTTGCACAAGGCGCCACTTATGACAATCTTCGAAGTATGCTACCAAAGTCTCCCCCATTCCTGGATGGGAAAAAAATTTCATATCAATCCTTAACTCATTTTAGCACATATAGGGTGACGAAGTTCTCATTCATTTATTCACATTTCTTAGTAATTTCGAAATATGCTCACGTTGGATATGATAAAATCTTAACAGAATTGTAGATGTAATACGGTTGGTTGCTAATCCAACTTGCAAGCCTCTCACATTCGTTAGCCCCTCCATCTGGTCAGACAAGATATTCGCTCTTCTGACGATTGAGATTTCCGAAGAGTTTCGGTCGAGATGAGAGCTTCGCATTCATTGTATGATCCTATAATACTGGGAGGTATTCACTCAATTTCGTTTAAGGTGACGAAGGACTGGTAGAAGAAGAATTTTCTCCACAATTATATGAGTTGAGCTGACGTTTCCAATGAATTTCACATAGCCTTGCTTTCCCAAAATAATGTATACTAGCCAATTGTTATAGCAGATATACGTTTGCTTCATCGACAATTCCACCAAAAGAATATGATATGAAAAAAGGTCTGGCCTTCCTTGAAATTCACATTTGCCCTTTGACCTAAGGGAACTCGTGGCAGTGTAGCCGAGTGGTTAGCCTGTCAAGATCCCCTCCTGCACTGTCGCGGTTCGACTCCAGCTGAGGGTGTTGATAGGAACGATGCGAGGTCGAAACTGCAGTCCACTTCTGCCTGGATGAGAACAACTTTTGGGAAAGCAAGGCTGTGTGAAATTCATTGGAAACGTCAGCTCAACTCATATCATTGTGAGAAAATTCTTCTTCTACCAGTCCTTCATCACCTTAAAC